TAAGGAGTTGTTGCTAGGCACCACTTGGCCTTGGTGTCAGCCTGCCAATACTTTAATTACAACATCCTCCTAGAAATTATGTTGGATGCTATGGATCTGGAGGAAAATATGGCCGACTGGAGTGTTGCGTCTGCCGCATATTCTGTGGCTGCCACCATTTTGGCCAGGTCCTGATGAGTGTGCATGTCCTCAATTGGAACCCTGGCCTGAAGTTGTTGCAACCATAAAAGGGTGGAGCGGACAAAAAAGGAAGCACATGTGGCCACTTTGACGGCCCATGCTGCAGATTGATGTGTTTTGCGGAATGTTTGCTCCCACCTCTTGTCATCTGCCTTTAGTGCCTCCAATAAGTCCCCCGCCATGGCAGTTTGGGAAATCAAAGGAGTCCAGGCTTCATCCACCTTGGGGATTTCCAGGGCATCAGAGAGATCCGTGGATGTGGTGTATAGCCTTTTGTCCGTTCCACTTACTAAGGGAGAGAAGATGGAGTGTCCCATTGTTTCCTGATCCCCTTCAGAAACATGGCAGGACAAGGAACATGATGTTCAGTAGCCACCTTTTCGACAAAAATTTGCCATGACGGGGTGCCTGTCGTTCCCTGCGGCTGAGGGAACTGGTCTGTCCCTATATTTGCCATCAGGGTGGCCTTGCGGAGTATTGTTAGGAACAGGTTGGCATTAAATAAACTCCCTGAAGTTGAAGACTCCAGGGGGAGTTCCTCATCCTCCGAGAGATTAATTTCCAGTTGCACCTCCTCCTGAGGGGAAGAATATCCACTCATGGAGGACTGGCCGGGAGAGACGGGTTCCTGAGGTGCTGGGGGCTCCATAGGGAGATCGTAGGGTGGCATGGTCGAGGTGGAGGCCTCCTGCTCGGAGTGGACTGAGCACTGAGCCAGAGCTCTGTCCACAACCTTAGTTAACAATGCCTCCAAGCGTCCGTCAGAGAAAATATCTCCGATGTCTGGACCCGAGTCCTGCGGCCGTGGGCGTGAATGTGGACTCAGGGATGTGCCCGGGACAGGTGTCGCTTGCTGAGCCGATGTGGAGGGTGAACCCAATGTTACCGGCATTCCCGGGACGGACCACACTCCTTGAGATGATGTTGATGGGCCCAAGGGAAGTTCCATTTCGATGGCCGTCATTTGATCCATGTCCAATTGGGCCTGCCTCTGTTCTGGAGAACTCCTTCTCCAGAGCCTGGTGCCTACGGCTGGCTTGCTTTTCCACCAACTTGGATGTCTTCTTTAGCGTATGTTTTGTCTTAGCTTTGCACTTGCCCGCCTCCTTCTGTTCAGAAGGTTTATTGCAGCCATAATTGGGTGATGGAGAGGGCGTGCCCAAGGTTTGAGGCAACGGTGAACCCTCCATCCCACTTGAGCAATCTCAGTAAGAAAAACACTGAGAAGGAGCTCTGGTGGACAAGTAGTTGGCAGAAGCGAAATTGGAGCAAATACCAAGACTGCTCCCCTGACCACCTGACCAAAAATAATTCTCTCTGGACTATGGTCATGGTAAATGAGGCAGGTACCGAAGGCACGTTTGGAACCACTCTCTGGGCTCCGCCCGGAGGCCTTAGGTGGCCAGGCAGTGTGCACCAGTAATAAAAAATTTGCAAGCAACCCCAATTAAGGTACAAAAACAAAAATATTTTTGAGCAATTGGAATTATTTTCAATTGGCGGCTAACCGGTGGAGAAGAGGCCTGTGATGGTGGCTTGTTCCTCCCCTGCTTCCCAAGCCGAAAGAAGCAAAATCCGGTTCCCCGGATCGTTTGGGCTTTCAAAATGGCGGCCGCGACCTAATTCCACCAAATTTAGGCTCCGCGGCCTCCACGGGGAGATCTGGGCTCCCCCAAACGATCGGAGCGTTCTGGGGGCGTTGCGATGCAATCGCGCAGGCCCCCGAATTCTCCCTGTGCTGTGCACCAAACAGGGAAAGTTAATTTCACAGCCGAAATTTTGGCTGTAAAATGGCGTCCGCGAGGGCTCTGGGTTGCTTATACAGCCTCCGACAGTCCGGATTCAAGTTGAATCCAAGGCAGGAGACTGTAATCCACTCCCAAATTGGGGAAGGAAAGCTGGGAGGGCAGGAGAAAAGGCACAGCAAGCAGTCTCTGCTATTGCCTTCTCTCCCCCCCCCCACCCAGGGCCCTGGGGAAGAGAGAAAGGGAAGGGAAAAGGGGATGAGATTTACCAGTGTTTCACGTGGTATTGATACCTATGGCCAGGCCTGTTAGGCCTGAATAGGCCTACTCGTGGAGCTAAAATGGCCGCCACTGTTAGAATGAGGCCTAGTCAGTCGAGGGATGCAAAAACGACCACGAGGGAAGAAGACAAGGTTTGAGGAATCCTGCTGCCAAAACTGGGGAATTTTTCCCCCCTTGGCTGTGGATTCCATCCCCCGCTTATGGGAAATTTCCCCTCCCCACGCACCCCCACCTCTCAAATAGGTTTGAGATCAGAGCTGATCCCAGCCCTGGTGGGGAAAAAAAATCAAAGATGACAATTTAGAGTTGCCAATAATAAAGAAATGGTAAGAATCCACCAAAGTAATTCTATCTAACCTGCAATTGATGAGAGCCAAGTCACAGAAGTCTTGCAAGAGCGGAGACCAAGTTAAGACTGGATCTCCTGGCAAGAGGGGCGTGGCTAATTTGGCTACTTGGTCTCAAGAGCAGGCAGACAGAGAAAACCCATAGGTGGATTCTCCATCTCCTGTACTGGAGAAAAGAAACACACAGAAAAAAGTCAATAAGTATAGAAATTAGTGCCTCAAGAACCTCACTATAATTCCTTTTCAAATGGTCAGCTTTGATGAATACAAAACTGAGTTTGTAAATTTAAGTTACATTAATCAAAATGGCATGTGGCATGGCCGCTAAAATAGCTGCCCAGAAGTGGGGAGGAGGGGATGAATGTGCCATGTAGCATTCTTTCTCTTAAGGGTTAGAAGTAGAATACTAAAGAACAAATTTTAATTTCAGCAAAACTTTCAAATACGCTTCCATTAACCTGTTTGCAACTTACCCTTCTCATGCTGTAACAAGGACAATAAACAAATACAAATGATAAATGAATAATAAATAAACAAATATCACAAAGACATAAGTTGGAGTCATAAAAATTTATCTGGCTGCCATTATTCAAAGATGTTCAGGGACAGGTCTCATTGGGTACAGTACAATTTATTCCATGGGAGAGGGGCACAACAATTGTTTGGAAGTGGGGAGTGCTGAATTCCATGGGATTTGTTTCTGACTCTGCAGGTGTGGGAGTACAATCAAAGATACTGATCCCATGTTCATTGAACTGAGCGCTGTGCTTGTTCCTTTGTTTGTAGTTTCTTTTGATGCTATCACTCTTTGTTGTGAAGCTTATTGCTATTGCAGAAGTGCAAGCAGACTTTGTGGAGCTTGAGTTTGTCACCATTTGAAAGCAAAAGGATTACTGATTGCTTCAAGTTTGTTTCTAGGGAGGATTTCCCATAACATATGTTGCTTCCATGGGGATGCTGCCTACATTTGGACTGCATATGAACATGGATAGTCTCTCTTAGTTGTAAAAACTTACAAGTTTGTGTTAAGACTGGGATGAGCTGTTGGGTGTTTGTAGACAATGCTGAGTTTGACTTTCCCTCAGGATAGGGAACCAGCTGTTGGACGGTAGGAAAGGTTAAACTGGTGGCATAAGGGGAGGTTATCTGAAAAAATATTTTGTGGCATACTACGATGTCCTTCATTTTTTATTTAGTGGAAACCTTTGTGTTGGTATATTGGTATTTTGTGATATTCATGATAATTTGAGATTGAGACCAATAAACTAGACATTATATCTGCAAACTAAAAAGAGCATTGTTTTAGTCAATGTGTCACCATAGCATATTACATAATTGTAATTAGAATATGATCTCTCTGTTTGTATTGTTTACAATTTGGGTTGCTGCAACTGGAAGAAAGTGAAGATGTTTCATCTTCTTCAAAACCAGACTCATATAACTTACTACAATATAGAATTGGAAAGTTATTAGTACATTAAGCATCAAAGATGTAAATAATCTGCTTCCCCAAAAAGCATATGGAGTTGGTTTGTCACATTCTCTAAGATTAATTTGCCTAAAATCCATACATGAGGGGTGAGTCAATAATATTACAGGTAGTCCTCGCTTACCGACCACTCACTCAGCGATCGTTCAAAATTTTGATGGTGCTGAGTGGAATTCACAACTAGTCTTCAAAGGTGTATTTGCAGCAGTGCCCCCCAGCACAATTTAGGCACTTTACAATTGTTGTGTATTTATGATGGTTGCCATGTCCCATGGTCACATGACTGCCATTTGCAACTTTCATAGCCAGCTTCCAATAAGCAAATTCAATGGAGAAGCCACTAGTGGATGAATTATACCAGTCGATTGTTTTTGTTTTAATTGTACACATTGCCTAGAATCACATGCAAGTGGATTAAGGTTATATACATTCCATAAATAAATAACAAAACAGCAAGAAGCTGCAAATCCTAGGCATGTGATATTATGCTTAACATAATAACATGGTGATTTGTTTAACAACTGCAGCCATTTGACATTTTACTTTACAACTGCTTCACTTAGCAATAGAGTTGCTAGTCCTAATTGTGGTTAGTAATAGAGAATGACCTGTATTATTATTATCCTTAGCTATTTCTTCCTGGGTAATTAACAGTTGGGAAGGGCAGGGTTCAAAAATAAAAATGTATCATATCCAACTAATCTGTAGTTGTGTCACTTGATTAAGGCGATCAATCCTCCAATTCCAAGCTTTCAAAAAAACCTGCCAAATTGTCCAACTGAAAAGGGCATTCCTCCCTATTTATTCTTCCTACGTACCATTGACAGCCAGGTTCCACTTGCCTATAAACTTTCATCCCCAACACTTAATTTACATAGCATTTTGCAAAGTATATATAGACAATGAAATATCTTTCCAACTCATTAATTTATGTCTTCTGTTTTTATTAAAAATTACCTGTTTTAATTTCATATAGAATGTTTTTGTGTACGTTTTCCTGCTGAAGTACCAGAAGCGTTCATTGGCTGGATACACCCGCACAAGGGTCTCTAACAGAAAACGAACTGGCTCTACCACTTCTGTGACTACCATATCTACTGCCACAGTCATATACACACGCTTATCTGTAGCACACAAAGAAAATTAAATTTTACATTAAATGGCAATAATATATACTCATATCAGTATATGCTTGGGAACTTATAATTTTTACTCTGCTGAGATTTTTCTCTTGTATAACTCCATATTGGTATTTCATAATGTTGCCCTCTCACCTATTCTTCCCTTTTCTCTCCAAAGTCCCACTTCTATTTATGCATTAAATCTGACTTTTTAATGCAATATCTATTATTTTATAAATGCATAAGTTATAATTATAATCTATGTCAATTCATGAAGAATGCTATTAAAGCAGAAGGCTATACATTTTATCCCTTTCCAATAGAAATAGTATAGCATTTTCAATGCATACTTACCCTTAGGAGTTTCTTCATTTAAGACTAAAAAGATAGGTATATTAGGATTCCAAAGACCAGTTATTACATAAGCTTTACCATCTGAACTTTTCCCCATAGACTCCTAAAGAACAAAAACAGGATTTTTCCAAAATTACTTTGCAGTTTTCAATATTGTGTCTGTACAACTAAAACCATAATAAACATCTTAAATCAAGTGCAATCTTTAGTCTTGATTAGCAACTGAACAATAGTAGAGATAATTCCCATAAGGTGCTTTCAATTTGCCATTTGTTTTAATAATAGCTTATGTGAGTAAAGGAATATAATACCACAGAGCCAAACAAAGCACTTTTAGCTGAAAACTGCAAATTTATGTGGACAGTACTAGATCTCACATCTTACATAGGATACATCAAAAATATCCCATATCTTTATATTGTAAAGATTGGATTATGCCCATGTACATATAGTCTACTTCATTTGGTCTTTTAACAAGCATTTTCCTTGCCAAATTTCCATATTTTCAATATTTATGTGAAATACATATCTAAGTAGTTTGAACAAATATATCTGGATCAACGGGTTAATTAAATCTTTTTTTTTTTGGAAGCCTATTGGTTTTGGTATATTGGAAATTATTTAGAACATCTACAGCTTCACCTCATTTTATACCAGCGGTTCTCAACCTGTTGGTCGGGACCCCATTTGGGGTCGAATGACCATTTCACAGGGTCGCCAAACAACGCAGTCCGCCATTTTTTCCCCCTTTTCCTTAGCTGTGCTACTCCCTTCTATTCTATTGGCTTTTGAAAGCCAATAGAATAGACTCTCTTGAATAGAGTCTAATTCTATTGGCTTTCAAAAGCCAATAGGAATTGTCCAGGTTCTCTCTGCCCTGCTGAGCCCGCCAAAAGTCCCATTCTGCAAGCGGTGCTGCAAGTTGTCTGCAGCGAAGGCGAGCTGTCTGGAAGTTTCCATCCCTCCCTGCTGAGCAGCTATTAAAAATGTAAGGCCAGAGGTGAGAGGTGGGAGGCCGGCGGGCGCAGGGAGAGTTGCTGGCACACGTGGGGCCTGGCGGGTGGCTTACCTCCCTTGGGCTGGGCCAGCTGGTAGCCAAGCCGGTGGTCGGCCTGCTCCGTCTCTGCCGCTTGCCAGCTATGCCTTGGCCGGCGCAGGGGGCGGCACCACGCATGTGCGGCGCTCCCGGGCAGGGAAAGTCCTCGACTTATGACCGGTTGGGTAGTCCTCAACTTACGACCGGTTGGGTAGTCCTCGACTTGGGGATCGCGGCATTAAAAAGGTTGAGAACCACTGTTTTATACCATTATTGGTTTTCTCTATAGGAGGAGGAAGAATTTGGCTCTTCTGCTCTCAGGTTGACATTTTAGCTAAGATTGTCCTAGATAATCTACATAAATTTGATAAGGGGATGAGAGCTACTTGAAAATCACCATTAAAGTCCTTTTAAAGGTTTTCTTAATGAAGATTTCAGTTTCATACAAGAAATTTCTAAGAGACCGCCTCTCCAGTGTTAGTCCACTCCATTGAGCTCTATCAGAGAAGGCATGATGCAAGTAAGATCAGCTAGTGACCTATATCTGGTGGGTCCCAGGTGGGTCTCAGCTGTGGTCCCTGCCTTATGGAACATCCTTCCCCCTGAAATTAGATTGGCCCATTCCTTTTGATTTTTTGAAAAGCCCTCAGGACCTGGTTATGCTGACAGGCCTGGGGCTCCGAGGAAATCTGAGATTTGATGATTTTATTGCTATATTACTGAGAGCCATTTTTATCTTCCCTTCGCCCAGAGTTAGTATGTATTTTTGTTTTTTATGTTATTTATTACTGTGGCTTTTCAGATTAGCTTATTAGTTGTTTTATTTATTGTTGTACACTGTTTGGCATCCCCTTTGGGGGAGATGAATGGCTATATACATTTGATAAATAGACAAATATGGAATCCAGCAATCAGCAATTAATGATGGCAACTACAAAACTACTACTGAAGAATATTCTAGCAGCATAACCACTTTCTGCCTTCATGACAAAACAAACAAAAGTATTTCCAATTCATTTTGGAATGAGAATAGACTTTTTGACAGAGTCATTAAAGCCAAAATGAATATCACATAAGCTTTTGTATTAGGGAATTATTACCATATCCAGTAAGTGCATGTCACCGTTTTTGACATTTCGACCTGGACTTAGCAGCATTCCAAAGCACCTGTAATCAGGATTAGTGAACACAAGAAAAAGTCAAGTTTAAAACACTGAATTGTTTACTGATATTACAGAGTATAATTTTCCATTTAAATAGGAAAAAACCAGTGTAATCCAGGTCCTATCAGGACAGTCAATTTACTGACTGTAGCCTGAGGAATACACAAAATGTTTGGAACAGTGAAACCTAATCAGTTGTCTGCTTGACACTGACAATATTGTGGGTAGGAAAAGGTGGAATAACTAACCTGATTGCCTTTATCTAGTAATTAATCTTGTTGGAAAGAAAAATAATTACATTCAGAAGTCAAACTTACTCTGAAGTTCCATTCTGGTTTGCAAGCAAGTAGAATACACAACAAAGATTTAGGCCAGTTAAATACAAAGCTAGCAAAAAAACTCTATATGCTTCCAAGGGCCATTCTAAGATTTAGAATGCAGCAAAACATTACTGAAATAATACTCTGAAAGAGAGTAAGAGCTCCTTTAGCAAAAGAGAAATGTAGCAATTTGAAGAAAATCCCTGCACAATCAGTCAGATCACATTTAATAAGTATCTTTGATTACAATGGAGGAATGACAAATGAAAACAATGCATTAAGGTTGTATATTGCCTCAGGTTTTATTAAAAAGAGGTGCTCCATAGCAAGGAGAAAGGGAAATGTGGTACTGCTCTGATGAGTCTTCCATTGTAGCTACATGGTTCTGAAAACCAACAAGGTTGCTTTAATTAGCTGTAGACAAGTGCTGCATTCACATTTTTAATTATATATTTATTTAATTTATATGCTGCCCATTTTATTAACAGCGACTCTGGGCAGCTTATAAATACAGAAGTACAAACATTACAATATTAAATATTAAATAAACCAAAATTAAATAACCATTAATCCATATTGGATTCATCTATATTAAATCCAAAATGCTGCAGAGTTCTACCACTTACTTATGTAACAAAAATTGCAAATATAAACTTCATTTTGCAATTGAAGTCAAATTGAAGACAAACTGTAACTGTCATTTCCCTTAAAACATTCAATTTTAGTTTTGTAGAAATAATAACACTACAGGCATTGGGCAATGGGAAAACCATAATTGGGATACTGAGGGGTTGCCTATTTCTGCAAATATTGATTTTGGATTTTATTTTCTGGCAGATCGCTGACAGCTATTCTTGCTCTGCATTTGCTCTGGAATATTCCACAACTGGTCTTCCAAAACAGGCTGTGTATACTGATGAAAAATAGTGTAAACCAGGTGTCCCCAACCCCCATGCCATGGAATGGCACCGTTAAACAATGTTAAACACAACATTGAAAGATACTCTCTGATGTTACTAATAGGCAATGTGAACTAATGTCACAACATCTAAGAAAAATTATAGCATTTACACGATGACATAATCATGCACTTGTCATTTTTTTCTTTCCTTGTCCATTCAGTTTTTTTTCTTTCAGACCTCTAAGTCAGGAGCCTTTGCACCTTGTTGCAACTGAGAAACAGATTGGCTTACAGTGTGTCTTTCTGTTTTTAAAGCTTGGGAGTGCCATCTTAACTTTGAACCTGAATGTTAGATGAAATCTAATAGCAAATGCTGATGAATGCATTCACTCTACAAGTATCCCAAATTATGGAGTTTTTACTGTTGTTTGATGGATCAAAGTGACTACTATCGCAATATGAATATTGTTAATGTCTACATTAAAAGCTTAAACCTCTTAAGACTAACTTGCTTAAAAATTTGCCACTGCAGCATATTCAATATTTCAATTAAGATCAGCTGGGAAATTCCAGCTTGTGACTCCACCAGTAGATCTGGTTCGTAATGCAGTGGCCAGCAGTAGGATCTTCCCAGTGGTGGTAGATAATTACTAATTATCAAGATATGCTTAGCTGATACTAATTTGTCTGGTAACTACTCCAGACCATAATATCTTTTAAATTTCCTGTTTTGATTTATGTTTACTGTTTTAAGTATTGTTTTTTCATTCTGTTTTCTTGCTCTGGACACATGAAATGAAACAAAATGAAATTAAATGAAAAGAAAATTGTGCCTCTACAAAAAAAATCCTCCTTCTAAGGTGTGAGTTAGTCTACTTACTATCCCACCAACTAACCAAAACAGAATTTCAGAATAGGTTCAACTTCCCATTTGGTGCTGGAAGGTAGAAAAAGAATATTTTACCTTCCAGGACAAGAAGAGAAACAATCCATATTCTTACAGAATTTCCTTCTATAAAAGTTCAGAAAAACTTAATTAAAGAGTACTATTACCCATGATCCTCATTTACTGACCACTTGTTTAGTGACTATTTGAAGTTATGATGTTGTTGAAAAATAACTTTACAGCTGATTTATGGCCATGTGCAACCTTCTCAGTGTCACTCAATCACTCACTGACATGATTGCCATTACAGTCAGTGTGCAATAACCTATGACCTGAGTTTTTTTTCCTACCCTTTTGTAAAGCAAAGAGATTGGAGAGGAAGGGATTGTAAGAAAGTAAAGCTGTTTATCTTCTCCACTAAAATAACGCAACTGCACTGGCAGCCCAGGTTGGCAGTAGTAGGCACTTTATGCAAACAGGTTATTCTCTTAATATTTCTTTCTCCAATCTCTCCACTCTAAAAGGGGGGTGTCAGATGTGAACAACAGATCCATACTTGCAGAGTTTGAGTTAACATCAGCCAAAAAAGCTAATACAATCCTGAGTTGTATAAGCAGAGGCATAGAATCAAGATCATGCGAAATATTAGTATCGCTTTATAAAACCCTAGTGAGACCATACCTGGAATATTGCAACCAATTTTGGTCACCATACTACAAAAAAGATGTTGAGCAACTAAGATGATTCAAGGCCTGGAGACTAAAACATATGAAGAACGGCTGCAGGACTTGGGTTTGGCTAGTCTAAATAAAACAAGAAATAGGGGTGACATGATAGCAGTATTCCAGTATTTGAGAGGCTGCCACAAAGAAGAGGGGCTCAAATTATTCTCCAAAGCACCAGAGAGCAGGACATGAAACAATGGTCGCAAAGTGACCAAAGGAAAAAAGCAACCTGGAATTAAAAGTTCCTAACAGTGAGGACAATTAACCAGTGGAACAACTTGCCTTCAGAAATCGTGTGCACTCCATCACTGGAGGTTTTTAAGAAGAGACTGGACAGTCATTTGTCTAAGATGGTTCTCCTGCTTGAGGGGGGGCTGGACTAGAAGACCTCCAAGGTCCTGTCCTGTCCTGTCCTGTCCTATCCTATCCTATCCTATCCTATCCTATCCTATCCTATCCTATCCTATCCTATCCTATCCTATCCTATCCTATCCTATCCTATCCTATCCTACCCTACCCTACCCTACCCTACCCTACCCGACCCTATCCCCTTTGCCTGATCATTTCTTCCAACCTCCAGAGTAGAGAGATTGGAGAGGAATGGATTGCAAGAGAATAAGTGGTCACTTTGCATAGCAGCAGAGTTGCTAATCCCAAATAATCATTAAGCAAGGACTACCTATATCAAAAGTCAGGGGGAGTCAGTTATAGTTAAATATAATGACATTAATAACTAGGCTCCTGAGGCTGTTGTTCAGAGGGGAGAGTGAAAAGTCAAAAGAATAGTTTCCTAACAAAGGAGCCACAAAAATTTATCTCTATGATTTTTTGCAGATTGTGTTTTGTGCATAACTTTTCCCCAGCAACAGGAAAAAAATAGGGAAAAATTAACCAATTTATAATTTATAACTATCATTGAATATTATTTTATATAAATAATGAGTCTGGATACAGACAAACCTGACCTTAAAAATACATAGTTAATAGTCCAGATTTATGAATAAACAACTATGAGAATCATCTCTCAAACAAGTTTTTTGAGTGCAACATTCTTGAAAAATTTAAGAGTAAGAATCTAATATGAAACTACACTGATTTCAAATCTTATGGAAAGACTGCCATCTAGAGGAGATAGTTTTTAAAAGCAAATATTTTGATAAATTCCTCAAATCCTTTTTGAAAATGTTTATTTTTTTAGTAGATATTAGGATTCACAATTTTCAGATAGCTTTTTATTTGCATAACATTGAAGCATTTTTTTCAAATTTTACTTTATTTACAAAAAAACAAATTCAAACTTTTTCCATTTCAAGATTCCACCTTGAAGGGAAAAAAAGGTACCTTCTCCATTGAAAATGGCAGCTTTAGGATGACAGCTAAACAATTTAAAACATTAGAAAGCCTTAAGTATCTTCAGAATCACTAGAATCTAACACATTCAGGATCTTATTATACAGCTATTTTTTTGAAAAAGAGAATAGTGAAAAATTAAGTCATAGATCTCATATATGTTAATTTAACTATGATATAATCTGCATTAGAACAATTGTCCACATCAGAAAGAACATTTTTAAAGTCAAAAATCTATCTTTAATAGCCCTTTATAGAATATGAAAAATGTTCTAATAAATGCAGGATGCAAAGTTGGATCATATTTAGAGAACTCAGTATTGGCTAGTAAAATTTTCATACATAAGCTGTACACTAAAATGTATTTCTTTCCATCTTATCAACCCCAAAATATTTCAAGATAGTTCATGATTTTTTAAAAAGCACACAAAATACTTTAAAATATAATGAGTTAGCACAGGTATTTTTTTGTTGTGCTTTTTTGGTGACATTTTTGATGTTGTCCATTTTAAGTCTTGAGATATTATAGAACCTAGAAATTAGAAGGTGTCTACTGTTGATTCTGTGTTGTCTAATATTGTAAGAGTTGGTAGAATAGGAGGGCTTCTCCTAAAATCTACTATCATTTCTACAGTTTTGAGTGTGTTCAGTTCAAGATTGTTCTGACCGCACAAGGTTGTTCAACTTCCCGTCTGTATGCAGATTCATCATTGTCTTGAACGAGACCAATCACTGTTGTATCATCTGAAAACTTCAGTACTTTAACAGAGGGATCCTTTGAGATGCAGTCGTTGGTAGCGAGAGAGAGAAGTGGCAAGAGGGGGTCTGTGCTAACTGTATCTGATGTGATTTTGCCTAGCTTTGCCTGCTGCTTTCTGTCTGTTAGAAAGCTTACAAGTGTGGTCAGGCACGGGTATCTGAATCAGTTTAGTTAGAAAAATATCTGGAATGATGGTACTGAATCCCTAGCTGAAGTCTACAAAAAAGGACTCTTGCATAGGTCCTTGGAGAGTCAAGATATTGTAGGATGTAGTGCAGAACTATATTAACAGCATCATCTGCTAATCTATTTGCTCGGTAGGCAAAATGCAAGGGGTCTAACAGCGGATCCATGATGCTTTTCATGTGGGCTAGCACTAGCCTTTCAAAGGTTTTCATAACTAGGGATGTCAAAGCAACCAATCTGCAGTCATTCAGCTCCTTGATGGATGGTTTCTTCGGCACCAGGATGATAGTAGAGCGTTTGAAGCAAGAAGGAATGTAACACATCTCTAATGATTTATTAAAATGCGGGTGAAGATGGGGCTAGTCAGCACAAACTTTCAAGCAAGAAGGAGTTACCTTATCTGGGTCTGGTGCTTGTCTGTGAAATAGATCTCACACATCTTTTTCTGTGATCACCAGAGGTATGGGGCCCAAAGGGATGAGGTCAGTTGTAGGAAGCTTGGCTGTTGTTGGTGTATCTGAGATGGAGAGGGTGGAGATATTTTACAGTTGCTTCCTCTCAGACATACAGTAAAACACATTCAGGTCATCTGCCAATTGTCGATTCCCTTCAACGTGGAAAGATGGTTTGCTGTAACCAACGATATTTTTAAGAGTTTTCCACAGATTTGCTGGTTCATTTGTTGAGAGCTGATTCCTCAGCTTTTCAGAATAGCTTCTTTTTGTTGCTCTGATCTCCCTTGTTAATACATTTCTGGCCTGATTGTTCAGCATTCTATCTCTTTGGCATAATGTAGCGGCTTAAGTTTAGATGTGAACCAAGACTTGTTGTTACTGGGTATTTGCAGGTTTCTGGTCGGCACCCATAGGTCTTCACAAAAACTAACATATGATGTTACACTATCTGTGTGTTCATGCAAGTCTGCAGAAGTATCTTCGAAAATGTTCTAATCTGTGAAATCAAGGCAAGCCTGTAGCTTTAACTTTCCTCCTCAGTCCAAGACGTCACTGATTTAATAGTTAGTTTTATGGTTTTAAGCCCACAGCCGCACGGCTTACAAGGCTTCCCAGGGCAGATGCCTGGGAGGCGAGGGCAGTGCCGGTAGAATGCACCTTCAGGCAAGGAGGAGAGCGGCATGGACAGGCGGAGGCAGCCAGGCGGCGCAAGCCTCCCCTGCTGCCTCCCTCCCTCCACCTGCCAGTCTGTGAGTATATAGCAGTGGTTCTCAACCTTCCTAATGCCGCGACCCTTTAATACAGTTCCTCATGTTGTGGTGACCCCCAACCCCCCATCCAGCTGGCCGGGGGGTATCAAAAACTTGACCCAAAAAAAAAAAAAGGAAAAAATGGGAAAGTATAGGTAGTCCTCGACTTACAACAATTCGCTTAGTGACTGTTTGAAGTTACAACAGAATTGAAAAAGCGAATTATGATCATTTTTCACATTTATGATTGTTGCAGCATCCCCAGGGTCATGTGATTTACATTCGAATGCTTGACAACTGATTCATACTTATGATGTTCAGTGTCCCAGGGTCACGTGATCAATGGCCAGGGGGCGTGGCCAGCTGATCACTCAGGTTGCAGAGTGCCTGTGGGAGGGAATCTGTGGGTCTCTGGGATGGGACTGGGGTGGGTGCCTGCCTTCCTTCCCTCCCTTCTCTCCCCTTGTCCCTTCCTTCCTTCTTTTCTTCCTTTCCTTCACCTCCCTCTTAGTCTCTTCCTCCTTCCCTCCCTCTCCCATTGTCCCTTCCTTCCTTTTCTTCCTTTCCTTCACCTCCCTTAGTCTCTTCCTCCTTCCCTCCCTCTTTCCCATTGTCCCTTCCTTCTTTCCTTCCTTTCCTTCATCTCCTTCTTAGTCTCTTCCTCCTTCCCTCCCTCTCTCCCATTATCCCTTCCTTCCTTCTTTCCTTCCTTTCCTTCTCCTCCCTTAGTCTCTTCCTCCTTCCCTCCCTCTCCCATTGTCCCTTCCTTCTTTCCTTCCTTTCCTTCGCCTCCCTTAGTCTCTTCCTCCTTCCCTTCCTCTTTCCCATTGTCCCTTCCTTCTTTCCTACCTTTCCTTCCCCTCCTTCTTAGTCCCTTAGTCCGTCCCTCCCTTCCTTCCTTCCTTCCCTCTTTGTCCCTTCCTTCCTTCCTTCCCTCCCTTCCATTGTTCCTTCCTTCCTTCCCTCTCTCATTGTCCCTTATTTCCCTCCCTCTTCATCCCTTCCGTCCTCCCCCCCTCTGTGCCCAGGAAGGGACAAGGGGAGGGGGACAGGCTGCCAGAGGCAGAGGAGAGCTCCGCCCAGCTCACTTGCTCAGCTTCGCCAGAAAACATGCCGCTTGCTAAGTTAGCAGAAGCCCCAGGATCAGCACCAGGCTATAGCTGATTCGCGCTTCTGCTAAATTAGTAAGCGGCATGTTTTCTAGCAAAGCTCGAGCAAGTTTGCTGGGCAGGAGCCAAGGAGAGCTGCTACAGCTGACCTGCTTCTTGGCTGCTCTGCAGAAGCGCGGATCAGCTGTAGAGGTTAGCCCCGATCCTGGACAAGAGGGAAGGAAGGAAGGATGGAAGGGACAAGGGGAAAGAGGGAGGGAAGGAGGGACAAAGAGGGAGGTTAAGGAAAGGAAGGAAGGAAGACAATGGGAGAGGGAGGGAAGGAGGAAGAGACCAAGAGGGAGGGAAGGAAAGGAAGTTCCAGCCAGCAGAGGCTTGGCAGCCGGGCTGCCGAGGAACAGAAGAGCGCAAAGCCAAGGAGAAGAAGGTGGCGGTTTCCTCTCAAAGAGTGCTCCTTTTCTCCACCCTTTCCCTGGGTTTGTGGGGAATTTCTCATCACCAACGCTGACAGGTGCTCCTTTGAGCCCGCTGCGAGCTTTCTCGCCCCCTTTGCTTCTCCCCCCCCCCCCCCGCTTTCGTGAGGATTGTGGTGCCCTTGGGAAGCCGATCGTGCTTTGAAGCTTAGGAGAGGAGGAGGAGTCCCTTCCTCCTTCCCTCCCTCTCTCCCTGTCAAGCCCTGGCGGGCTTGACATGAATGGGTGGAGGAGTCGAGGATGGGCGGGGTGGCAAAGGAGATGTGCGGCTGTCGCCAGACCTCCCGGCTGACAAGCGCAAGTTCGGGGGTCGCCAGCTGACGGGCGCAGGAATTGGTGCTGCGGCGGCCTCCCCTTCACTGACCTGCATGCACAAGAAGAAGTCAATCCGGTTGCTGCACAATGAGTCTCTGGGGAGGGCGGGGCCTTGCTCTGCGCCTGTGCTCTTCATGCGCTCCCTGCAGGGCACATTTGGTAGAGTTCGTGCAGACTGCCGCCAAGCAGCATATTTTCCACAAACAAGTGAGGTGGAGCGGAGGGGGGAAGGGAGAGAAGGCGGTTGACAAGCCCTACCTAAGACCATCGGAAATATGTGCTTTCTGATGGTCTTAAGCGACCCCTGTGAAAGGCTCATGCGACCCCAAAAGGGTTGCGACCCACAGGTTGAGAATTGCTGGTATATAGAGTATGGTAAGCACTTTCAATTGGATCATTAACAAGTCACCGACACAAATGATAAAACGCTGATGCAAAATTCACTCACTCTTCAGTTTTTAAAATATGTTTTTGTGGAAATACTATTTTGGAAAGACATTGAGAATATTATAAGCATTACAAAAGTACTATTAATGACAGGTGTTAGCTATTATTACCTTTCAATGGCTAATTCTTTGTTGGATATCTGCTTTATAGTGATGATAACCTTCTTCTCAAGGCCTTGCTTTAGTTTGAAGTAAAATTTCTCTCTGTCTTTTGGTACTGGACTAAAGAAGAATAACATACGTTCAACAGCAAACTCTAATAAAAATTCTGATAAAAATAAGTTCATCTACCTCATTAAAACTGAAGAACTTCAAAACTATCGGACCACAAAATAAAATGTTTTTACATATTGTAGGCAGCTCACTATCAAAAAGACTGTCTATTCCAACATTGCCTCTGGTTTCTAAAATCTTAAAAGTTTGGGAATATATAATCTATTTTCTAAACTATGATAAACTGATTTACTATCCATCAATCCTTGCATTTTGTTGCGAATATGTGCATTTTGAATTCCTTAGAGGATGGCAGGAAGCAATCTGAACAAATAGGCAAAATTAATTTACTTTCACAAGTTTAAATGACTTAGATTTTTTTGCCTCCACTATTTTGTCATTTTTTTTATTTACCTGAAATTTCCTTTACCATCATCTTCTTTGACCTCTAAAGAAACAGTGAATATGAATATATCACTGTCAGGACTTGAAACAATAGCATCCTTTACATTATCTGATGCCTGTTTGGAAGAACGTTTGAATGCTGTTGAAAAACTATACAAAATTCGGCTGACCTAAAAATAAACAGAGGATGAGAGAAGGGCATAAAAAATAATTTAGGGAGAAGAGAGAAAGTTTAACAAAATCAATAATTTATAATGCAAAATCCAAATGTACAACACTTGATATGTAAGTAATTATTTTACTTTTTACATATTATTATTTTTCAGAGAAAACACTAATTTGCAAATTTACAATTTGCCTTTCTTTAATAAGTCTTCCAATACTTGAACCTTAGAACAACAAAATGTATTTTATCAAATTAAGATGCCAAGCACAGCATAAATAATAGCTTAGTAATGAACTGAACAATAAACCACATCTATTTGCCATAAAAAAAAATCTGTCATCATAAACATTCTTGAGTAGTAATCTGAATTTAGGAAACATACAGTAATTGCTGATAAAATTATCTTTGTGCCCCTCTTTTAAAGCGAGATACTTATATTATATAACTATCCCAAAAATTCAAAGGGTATTCAGTTTAGTATGCCGTAATGTTCTTCCCACAGCAGTTTTGGATGGCTGGTGCAAAAAAATACTATATGAGTTGAGATTGTGTCCCTGCGGACAAGGGGTTATTGAAACTGCAGCTCATGTCCTACTATACTGTATTTTCTATAAGGATTCATATTACAACTCTTCACCTAATAAAATTTCTGGGAAATACTGATCTCTTCTATGTACAACTGCTGTTATTAGGCCACAACTGCTGTTATCTGGCACATCCCCATCCTTTTAGTCTTCTTTAAAAATCTGACTTTTCCCCCAAAAGCTGGAACAGGACAAGGTTGAAGTTCGGGGATTATATTGGTGGATGTATTGCAGTGTTAGTTGAGGTGCCTGGTTTTGGTTTATTCTTGTTTAGTTTTCATTATAGTTGTGAGCTGCTCAGAATTTATGTTACATAAGTGGGATGGTCATATAAGTGTTTTTAAAAAATAAGAAGCTTTGCTCACATTCTACAAAGAGATACAATAGACTAGTGAATCAGACTATCCCATCCATAACTTGTTATTTCAATTGTTGCTTTCTGAAACAATAATAACCATGCTTTCTACTTACTGCCTCTTTAATTTCACAAGAGAAGACATGAATCTGAAACTCCTCAGTGCCAGAGTAACTCTCAGTAAAGGCAAAGCAGTCACATTCCAAAGTCCCATTTTGCCCACGGACACAGAACAATACTTTGTAGATTGGGAAAGAAGCAATTTCTGTACTGCTGGACTGATCTATTATTCTAAATGAATTGAAAATTGAAGAAAATTGAAAAACCTTTGTAATCCTGTAAAAAATAATAATTTCTTTGCTATTTTTGATATCTATCCACTCTGGAAAATGTTTAAAGTATTCACAAAAAAGTATATTGCAATTTAAATATTTAAATGTTATTAAATTTCACAATACTGTAATATGTTGTTTTCAGTCACATGACAATACATATGCTGTTGTTCATTTTATCACTTATATTCTGAATAGATTTTAGTTCAATGGAGTTCATATTTACTATATGTGGAAATTCTTAACAGTATCTGAATATTTACAGTTTCATCACAACTGCTTTCTTTGACATGCATTTCAGCATTAAGATCATTTTCACAGTATACTATTTTTACTTTTATTTTCTTTCTTCACCCATTTTCTTCTTTTCTTTTATGCTTCGACTACTTACTAAAACTACAGATTGTTTGGATACAACTAAGGATAAAATTTAAAATATATAATTAAGAATTATAATCTGTGAAATTTCAAGACATAGTAACTATATCGACTGGTGAGATACTAGGGTATATAAACAACACAGCTGAAATCTCCATTAATTTCACTGAAAATATTTTATGTATATTTGAAGGCAAGGTATTAACCTTTACCATAATTGTTTTAGAGTATATACATTATGCCTCACAGAGATAGAGATATATATGAAGAAAAAATACAGAAGAGAAAGAAAAAAGGAAAAAAATAGGAATGTAATTACTTTCCTTCAATTTTTGACACCACAGTACCCCCTGAGATTTATCAGGGAAATAATGCAGAACCATCCTCCAGCATGTGTGTGATTTTCCTGTTTAATTTCTGCTAGTACATTAGCAGAAAGTAAGTTTTTACTGAATAAAGCCAAAAGCCCCATATAATCCATGTCACAGATTAGCATGGCAAAAAAGAGAACTAGCTCTCCTGGTAGCGACTTGTATCTAACATACATAACATAGTCTATAACTTAGTAGATGACATAATGTCATCAAGACCCCTGTTATTGATAACCTTCTCCTTCGTAGTTTTGTCCAATACAGTGTCAAATCTATCAAGTGATACTATACTGTATTTCACATTAAAACAAATATCCATATTTGAGGCAATATTTGAGGAACTTTGAAGAAAGATGAGAATTAGATATGGTCTTCAAAACACAAAACAAAGGATTCTACGGAGCAACTTGAAGTTCCTACAGGAGGAAGCAGGAATCCATTCCTGTCCTGTTCTTAAACTCATTTGGATACCTTGCATATACTCAATCGAAACATCCAGCTCACCTAACAGAACCATCTGGAATATTTGGTAAATAAAGAGTTACAGGAGATGGAGAATGATTTGAGTTTTTCAAAGTTGCCATGGCACACAAAGCCTCTGCTTCACTGCGGGGAGCAGAAACCTTCATACATCCAAGGTACAACAGTTTGTTGAATAATACACTATCCTCTTCTAAAGGTACAGTGAGAGAATGAGATGTTTGCAATGAAGATTCTGAAACAGAACACAATTCCACAATTAGATAATATTCATTGCAAAGTGTCACTCATAATGACAAAATCATAACTACAACAATGTTCTTGGGCTGCCTCTGAATTTGTTCCAATATTATAGCTTATTGTTGTATTAATATTCCTAAATTCCAAGTGCATAATGACCACAAAGAGTTATAACAATTTTAAGTTCCTTTTTGCTAAACTAAAGTACAGGTGGTCCTTGACTTAAAACTGATCTCTTAAAGACTGTTCAAAGTTACAGCGGACCCCCCCTAAAAGTTACTTACAGCCCAGCCCCATACTTACGGCCACTGCAACACCCCCACATTCATTTGCCCTTACGATCAACTGCAAGGATGCTGCAGTACCACCCCACCTATCTTCCCTCTCACCCACCCCCAACACTGGGTCCCTGCAAGCATTTCCCTCTCCGAATGACTCCCTGCTAGCTTTAGGTCTGACTCCCACCCCACCAAGCTTCACACACTCCTCCTCACTTAACTTCTGAAGAGCTCCAAAACCTTCCACAGCACTGGAACAGATCACTTTGTGTTCAGCTGGATGGCACAATTTTGGAAGCAGCTGTCATGTATCCAGGGACCAAACTGCATTCTGGTAGCTGTAAATTTTGCTGCCACTCCTGGAATCACACCATATGGCTACGCAATGAAGTGATCCATTCCAACACTCTGGAAGGCGTCAGAGCTCTTCAAAAAGAGGGGAGGAGGATGTTTGGCTGGTGAAGTGGGTATCAAGCCTAAGACCTGAGAGGACTCAGTGGCAGTGGGAAAAGGCCTGTGGGGACCCAAGGGGCAGGAATCAAAGCATGGTGTCTCTCAGGGAATGGGGGGGGGGGCTTAGGAGGCCTGGGCAGGCTGGCCTGTGCTAGTCTTCCAGGAGTCTCCCCCATCCCTAGGCAGCCCATGGCTCTATTAAATGACCTGTACTTTCATTTAATTATTATATTGGAGAGAGCAGGGATGGGGGGAATCATCAAGTGAGATGCTTCACTTAATGGCTGTCACAACATGCAACCATAATGGGTACATCCCATTACGGTTGTATCTCAAAAACTACCGGTAACTGTAATTTTAAAGGTACTGACAACTATCTGCAATATGTTTCAAGCAGCTTCCCTTCTAATATTTTTATGCTTCTTAAAACATGAAAATGATGTTAAAATAAATAAATGTAAAATTCAGCAAAATACATAAATGTAAAATTCAGCAATCATTATAGGAATAAGAACACGCATCATGAATGTTTTTATGTTTTCCTAAATATCTCCTTCACGGATACTGCCTTGTCGTGGCGAAGGGGCTTGTGTAACTCAAAGAAGCTATGAGCTATGCTGTGCAGGGCCACCCAAGATGGACAGGTCTTAGCAGAGAGTTCTGACAAAATGTGATCCACTGGAGAAGGAAATGGCAAACCACTCCAGTATCTCTGCCATGAAAACCCCATGGACAGTACCAAAAAGCAAAAAGATATGATGCTGGAAGATGAGCCCCTCAGGTCGGAAGGTGTCCAATATGCTACTGGGGAAGAGCAGAGGGCTAGTACTAGTAGTGCCAGAAAGAATGAAGCGACTAAGCCAAAGCCAAAAGGATGCTCAGCTGTGGATGCATCTGGTGGTGAAAAGAAAGTTCGATGCTGTAAAGATCTTTTCTCCATAGGAACCTGGAATGTAAGATCCATGAATCAAGGCAAGCTAGACGTGGTCAAACAAGAGATGACAAGACTGAACATCGACATCTTAGGAATCAGCGAACTAAAATGGACAGGAATGGGTGAATTTAACTCTGATGACCATCAGGTATACTACTGCGGGCAAGAATCCCTCAGAAAAAATGGAGTAGCCTTCATAATCAATAAAAGAGTAGGAAAAGCAATACTGGGATACAATCCCCAAAATGACAGAATGATCTCAGTTCGAATCCAAGGCAAACCATTCAATATCACAGTAGTCCAAATATATGCCCCAACCACTGGTGCTGAACAGGATGAAATTGACCAGTTCTATGAAGCCCTACAGAACCTTATAGAATTAACACCAAAAAATGATGTCCTTATCATCATGGGGGATTGGAATGCTAAAGTAGGAAGCCAAAAGATAACTGGAATAATAGGCAAGTTTGGCCTTGGAGTACAAAATGAAGCAGGGCACAAGCTGATAGAATTTTGTTAAGAGAATACGATGATCATAACAAACACTCTTTTCCAACAACCCAAGAGACATCAACAGACGGTCAACACAGAAATCAGACTGACTATGTGCTCTGCAGCCAAAGATGGAAAAGCTCTATACAGTCAGTAAGAAGACCAGGAGCTGACTGTGGCTCAGATAATGAGCTTCTCGTTGCAAAATTTAGACTTAAATTAAAGAAAGTAAGGAAAAGCACTAGGCCACTCAGGTATGAACTAAATTATATTCCTGATAAATATACAGTAGAGGTGACAAATAGATTTAAGGAATTAGATCTGATAGACAGAGTGCCTGAAGAACTATGGACGGAGGTTCGCAACATTGTACAAGAGATAGCAATTAAAACCATCCCAAAGAAAAAGAAATGCAAGAAAGCAAAATGGCTATCTGAGGAAGCTTTGCAAATAGCTGAGGAAAGAAGGGAAGCAAAAGGCAAAGGAGAAAGAGAAAGATACACCCAACTGAATGCAGAATTCCAGAGAATAGCTAGAAGAGATAAGAATACCTTCTTAAATGAACAGTGCAAAGAAATAGAAGAAAACAATAGAATAGAGAGGACCAGAGATCTCTTCAAGAAAATTGGAGATATGAAGGGAATGTTTCATGCATAGATGGGCATGATAAAGGACCAAAATGGCAGGGACCTAACAGAGGCAGAAGAGATTAAGAAGAGACGCAACCGGCTATTGGACAGAAGATTATAGAGACTGAATGAAAATTTTAGATAAGAAGTTTAAGTTTAAGTATTTTGTTTAGGTATTTAGAAGATTATTGAGATTGCGGGAGAAGTAAGATTTATAATGTTTTTGGAAAATGTCTTAAGTAATGTTTAAATATGTGTTCTGGGATAATAATATAAGTATGACATGAAAAGGTTTAGAGTATATTATAAAATGATGGATAATAATATAAATGATATGAAAAGAGTCTAGAGTATACCATAGTTTGTTTAAAGATTGGTTTCTTTTTTTTAATTATTATTATTCTTAAGAGAAGTTAATTTGTTTAATTAAATTTTAGATAAGAAGTTTAAATATAAGTATTTAGTTTAATTAATTAAATGAGTATCCAGTCCTAATGGTATAATGAATGTTTATATGCTTATTTTTGTGTTTTAGAGTAAAGAAAGAGGGAGATTAGATTAGATTTTATAGTGTAGGTATAGATATTTAAAGAAAGTAATGTTTAAATTGGTGTTTTGGTGATTTTTTATAGAATGATGGGTAATAATATAACTACAATATTAGAAAAGATTTAGAGTATATCATAATATGTGTCTAAAGCTTGTAATTATTATCTTTTAGAGAAGACAATTTGTTTAATTTAAGGTATTTAGATTTGTTCAGGATTTATATGTGTTTTAAGTTTTTTTTATCTCTTATCTTTTTTGAAAAATTTTAATTAAGCCTGTACTCAGCTCTGGGAAGGTTGAGGGAGGGTATGGGAGGTTTGGGGAGAAGGGGGAGGGTATGGGAGGGTGGGGGGTTTGGGGAAGGGATTTATTTTGTAAAATTCAAAAACTTTCAATAAAAAAAAATAAAAAATAAAAGAAGAGGTGGCAAAACTACACAGAAGAACTATACAAGAACAAGCTTAACGTCCCAGATAACCACAATGGGGTGGTCACTGACCTCGAGCCAGACATTCTAGAATGTGAAGTGAGATGGGCCTTAGGAAATATGAGCAATAACAAAGCTAGTGGAGGTGACAGTATTCCAGCTGAGTTATTCAAAATCTTAAAAGACGATGCAGTAAAAGTGCTACACTCAATTTGCCAGCAAATTTGGAAAACTCAACAGTGGCCACAGGATTGGAAAAGGTCAGTTTAATTCCAATTCCAAAGAAAGGCAATGCCAAAGAATGTTCAAACTATCGCACCATTGCACTCATTTCACATGCTAGTAAAGTTATGCTTAAAATCCTACAAGCTAGACTCCAGCAGTATGTGGATCAAGAACTACCAGAAGTACAGGCAGGATTTCGAAGAGGCAGAGGAGCTTGAGATCAAATTGCCAATATACAGTCAGGTCCAGAAATATTGGGACATCGATACAATTCGAATATCTTTGGTTCTATACACCACCACAATGGAGTTGAAATGAAACAAACACAATGTGCTTTAACTGCAGACTGACAGCTTTAATTTGAGGGTATGTACATCCAACTCAGGTGAACGGGGTAGAACTTACAGCAGTTTGCATATGTGCCTCCCACTTGTTAAGGGACCAAAGGTAATGGGACAATTGGCTTCTCAGCTGTTCCATGGCCAGGTGTGTGATATTCCCTCATTACCCCAATTACAATGTGCAGATAAAAGGCCCAGAGTTCATTTCAAATTTGCTATTTGCATTTGGAATCTGTTGCTGTCAACTCTCAAGATGAGATCCAAAGAGCTGTCACTATCAGTGAAGCAAGCCATCATTAGGCTGAAGAAACAAAACAAACCCATCAGAGAGATAGCAAGAACATTAGGCGTGGCCAAAACAACTGTTTGGAACATTCTCAAAAAGAAGGAACGCACCAGTGAGCTCAGCAACACCAAAAGACCCGGGAAACCATGGAAAATAACTGTGGTGGATGACCGAAGAATTCTTTCCCTGGTGAAGAAAACACCCTTCACAAGAGTTGGCCAGATCAAGAACACTCTCCAGGAAGTTAGGTATATGTGTGTCAAAGACAACAATCAAGAGAAGACTTCACCAGAGTGAATACAGAGGGTTCACCACAAGATGTAAACCATTGGTGAGCCTCAAAAACAGGAAGGCCAGATTAGAGTTTGCCAAACAACATCTAACAAAGCCTTCACAGTTCTGGAACAAGATCCTATGGACAGATGAGACCAAGATCAACTTATACCAGAGTGATGGGAAGAGAAGAGTATGGAGAAGGAAAGAAACTGCTCATGATCCTAAGCATACCACCTCATCAGTGAAGCATGGTGGTGGTAGTGTCATGGCGTGGGCATGTATGGCTACCAATGGAACTGGTTCTCTTGTATTTATTGATGATGTGACTGCTGACAAAAGCAGCAGGATGAATTCTGAAGTGTTTCGGGCAATATTATCTGCTCACATTCAGCCAAATGCTGCAGAACTCATTGGACGGCGCTTCACAGTGCAGATGGACAATGACCCAAAACATACTGCAAAAGCAACCAAAGAGTTTGTGAAAGAAGTGGAATGTTATGCAATGGCCAAGTCAATCACCTGACCTGAATCCCATTGAGCATGCATTTCACTTGCTGAAGACAAAACTGAAGGGAAAATGCCTCAAGAACAAGCAGGAATTGAAGACAGTTGTAGTAGAGGCCTGGCAGAGCATCACCAGGGATGAAACCCACCGTCTGGTGATGTCTATGCGTTCCAGACTTCAGGCTGTTATTGACTGCAAAAGATTTGCAACCAAGTATTAAGAAGGGAAAGTTTGATTTATGATTATTATTCTGTCCCATTACCTTTGGTCCCTTAACAAGTGGGAAGCACATATGCAAACTGCTGTAAGTCCTACCCCATTCACCTGAGTTGGATGTACATACCCTCAAATTAAAGCTGACAGTCTGCAGTTAAAGCACATTGTGTTTGTTTCATTCCAACTCTATTGTGGGGGTGTATAGAGCCAAAGATGTTCGAATTGTGTCAATGTCCCAATATTTCTGGACCTGGCTGTACGCTGGATCATGGAGAAAGCTAGGGAGTTCCAGAAAAACATCTACTTCTGCTTCATTGACTATGCTAAAGCCTTTGATTGTGTGGATCACAACAAACTGTGGCAAGTTCTTAAAGAGATGGGAGTACCAGACCATCTTATTTGTCTCTTGAGAAACCTATATGCAGGTTAAGAAGCAATAGTGAGAACTGGACACGAAAGCACTGATTGGTTCAAAATTGGGAAAGGAGTCCGGCAAGGCTGTATTCTTTTGCCCTGCCTATTTAACTTATATGCAGAGCACATCATGAGAAAGACAGGGCTAGATGAATCAAAAGTTGGAATTAAGATTGCCGGGAGAAATATCAATAACCTAAGATATGCAGATGATACCACGCTAATGGCAGAAAGTGAAGAGGAACTAAAGAGCCTCTTGATGCGGGTGAAGAAGGAGAGTGCAAAAGTTGGCTTGAAACTCAACATTAAGAAAACCAAAATCATGGCATCTGGCCCTCTTAATTCCTGGCAAATAGATGGGGAAGAAATAGAGGTAGTGACAGATTTTATTTTCCTGGGCTCCAAGATCACCGCAGATGGGGACTGCAGCCAAGAAATTAAAAGACACTTGCTCCTGAGGAGGAAAGCTATGGCAAATCTAGACAGCATAATAAAAAGCAGAGACATCACCCTGCCAACAAAAGTGCGTATAGTCAAGGGCATGGTTTTCCCAGTTGCAATGTATGGATGTGAAAGTTGGACCATAAGAAAGGCTGAGCGACAAAGAATTGAGGCCTTTGAACTATGGTGCTGGAGAAGACTTCTGCGAGTCCCTTGGACTGCAAGGCGTTCAAACCAGTCAGTTCTAGAAGAGATCAACCCGATTACTCTTTAGAAGGCCAGATCCTGAAGTTGAGACTCAAATACTTTGGCCACCTAATGAGAAGGAAGGATTCACTGGAGAAAGGCCTAATGCTGGGAAAGATTGAGAGCAACAGAAGAATGGGACAACAGAGAATGAGGATGGAGTCATTGAAGCAGTAGGCGTGAGCTTAAATGGACTCCAGAAGATGGTAGAGGACAGGAAGGCCTGGAGGAACGTTGTCCATGGGGTCGCGATGGGTCGGACACGACTTCGCAATTAACAACAATTACAAATATCTTCAGTATCTACAAAATTTACAAAATATTTTTGCTAATATTTAAGAGTCATCTCCAGATGGGATTGAAGGTACACAAATTTAATAAACAAAGAAACCTGTGATGGGAGAATCATATGGAAGATGCATAGAGCTTTGGTTCATAGAAACCTCTTCAAAAGATTGTTGGTAACTACTACTCAAATCTACAAAATCAGAAATACTTTGTTGTGGGCCTTTGTCAAAATCTTTCAGTATCTTTTCCATGGTTTGTGTTATTTGTTGTTCTTCATCTGGAAACATCTATAACAAAAAATAGAGGAAAACATCAGTACAGTATAACGATTTCACAAGCCAACAGTATGTCTTAAACTTCAATAAATACCTTCATATCTATTTTTCACATAATTGAGATATTTCCAAATGATCATTTCCTGAAAATAGATACCTTAATTCAGTACATATTTTAGCAGCTGATGACTATATATGTTTATTTCTCCATCATTTCTCCATTTTTTATCTGAGGACAATGCAAACTAATCTTTCTGTCATACAAACTGGTAGCATAAGATTGAACATCATTGTACTTCTTTCCTTATCTTTAACTTCTTGAATTATTCTTCTATTAATTTAGGTATATTTTTATGACAGAATTACTCATCCGAAATGAGAAAGATTTAGAAACTAGTAAAAATAGGAACTAATTTTTTTTTAAACGAAGAAAAGTTTTATCATTGGATGACATTTCTCAGCTTTTGCAGAATGATTTTTAATGGACTAATTTAAAAAGAAACATATTTTCATGAAACTGGAAATAGGTCCACAGAACTATTTTTTAATGAAAATTAAAAAGCAATTTTTGTTTTTTAAAAATAATTAAGACAAAAATAAAATGAATATGGAAAAGAAGAGGCAAAGAAAAAAGGACACACATATATAAATACAGATCATGTATAAAACAATAGTTTTATTCTAGGTAATTTTGCCATGCGTAGCATTCTTGTTCGATAGATAGATAGATAGATAGATAGATAGATAGATAGATAGATAGATAGATAGATAGATAGATAGATAGATAGATAGATAGATATCTTTTTAACCTCTCTGGATGTTTAGACAATAGCTTCATATCTTGCATTATACCTAGGTCAATTAAAAGAAGCATAGAGCATCTGCTATTTTTAATCCAAATGTATAACAGTTATTTTATATTTTCATTGCTTTATAACTACATTTAATATTCACTCCCAAACATATTTATACAGTTGATGCTCTTTAACCACTCGTTTGGTTGAAGAACATATCACACAATCAGTAAATTTGTTGTACTGTAAATGTACTATAGTGTGTAATTGTTTAAAATATTTTTATAAAGATTTTGTAGCTTGGAATGATTTACCAGACTATTTTGTAATTTATAATATAGTAAAATAACAGAATTTTTAATCCATCACATTAATAAATCAGATAGCTGTTGGTGCTCATTTGAATCTTAAAACTGCTGCTTGGAAAAACAACTATATATTTAAAATTGTAAATAAAGAGAAAGTTCTAAGTGTACGATCTACTAAACTTTGAGATCACCAAATAATATGCAAACTTTGTTCCCAGGCTTTACATGGCTTCTATAGAATAATACACCATTGTCAGTATTACACGTAAGAGGCAGATTGTAGATGTTTTATGAACTTGTTAAATCGCTGTATTTCATAAAGCATGATGTGTTGGTTTTCCCATTTCTCTTCAAATATTGTAGTTTTGGATACTATAAAATTATGACTTGTAAAAGAGTATGATCTAAAAGATTTTAATAACAAAAGGATACATATATTTCATGTAACAACTAATCGGAAGTAATTTTGCTGTTAGTTTTGATTCTTGTGGCAAAAAGAATTAGAATTTTGAATTTTGAAATGGATTTCATTTTCCTGACGGATTTTGATTTGATGACTAAAAAGAATAGGTCATAGAAAAGGGAATTATGGTGTAATTTTAGAGATTAGAATTAGATTAGATTAGCCTGATTAGAACTGCATGTATAATTACTGAGAGGGAGATCAAAAACTGCTTTTTTTCCAACGAACGTATTAAACTTTCTCATGTTTGCCACCTAGTTGATGCAGCCAGCTACTGTCTGTAGACAGATGAGACAAAAAGGAATTTTCCAGTATTATTCAATATTCAATATTGTATTTGAAGAAATAAAACAATGTTCCAGAAAAAGCAGGACAATGTGCCTCAGTATCTGGAGAACTCCTAATTATTGAGGGAACAACAGAGTCTGGATTCTGTCAGCAAATTCCGTAGGAGAACGTCAAGGTATTTGTGAGCTGAAGCTTAAATAAATGTGAGTCAGGTAACATGAGAACTAACAAGTAAATGTATATCCAAATGGCTGAAGCAAAAGACATTTCATGTTTTGGAATGTTCTGACCTTAGCCCAACTAAAATGTTATGGCAAGACTAAAGCAAGTAATTCATACAAGACAGCTCAAAAATATCTTAAAGATGAATGTACCAAAATTTCCCCAAACCAATGTGCAGGATCGATCAACAAATTCAGGAAACATTTAACTGAATTTATTGCTGCTAAAACAGGATGTCAAACTGCCAGCCCACAGGCCGGATGCGTCATACTGAAAACGCGCCCACCCCATTGCTGGCAATGGGGAAAAAGTCACGCAACGTCACGCAACTTCATGAGTTTGACATGCCTGTGCTAAAACATGTACCAGCAGCTACCAAATCTAAAGCCTTGTGGAATTCTATCAGATAGTAATCGCTGGCACAATATGTTCAATAAAGATATGACATGGTGTATTGGTTTGAGTATGGTTTGCTCAATCTCTTTACCTGCTCATAGGATTAAGATTAAAATTGGATTATGGATAGTTCTAAAGGTGTTAATAAACTCTTTTTCCCACTGTATATTGACAATCTTTTGTGTATAAGCATAATTTGGACCAGAATTTCTGTTTCTAAGCCAGGGGATTGTTAAGTGAATCAGACCTGATTTTAAAACTATTTTTGGCTCAGTTGTTAAGCAAATCACTGCAGTTGTTAAGTCAATCAGAAGTACTATATCCCCAGAACTTGTAATCTATTAAGAAATCAAGAAAGATGGGCTTTTCAGGCTTGGGAGATGGACAAAATATACAGTATTATACATTATAAGAACAATAACTTTATAACTGATTTGTAACAATGGATCGTTGACTGCATGATCTGTCAACACTGGATCTATTGTTGTCATTTTCCCCTTCCAACAAAGTGTAGAGGAAAATTTTCCAGCAATGTTTGGAGTTGTTTTATTCATAGGATCAAGTTTTAGGCATTCACTCCACTTGTTTTAATAAACAAAAATAATAAAGGGAGGTAATTTTTCTTTTTTTCTTAATTAGTTTAAGATAATAAAATGTTTTAAATGATATTTTATGTATAAAATATTTTTGTGCTCTACTTTTTATTTTTTTGGGAGGGGCATTGCCATAATTTTAATACTTTCACTATTTTCACTATTCTATTTTTTTCTAATGCAATTTACTTATTATGTTAGCTCACTTATGGGAACTAGGACTTGCAAAAGAATATGGCACTTTTTAATTAGTTCCTGAGGACTACAAGAGCATAATTTATGTGTTTAATAGGCAAGCCAAGAACCAAAGACAATGAAGAACATCATAGAATCACAACCTAGCTGACTTCTCTTTCTGATCTCCTTTCTACATATTCTCTTACTTCAGAGGTCTCCAACCTTTTGGGCACCAGGGACTGGTTCCATGGAGAAAAGTTTTTCCATGGACTGGAAAGTGCATGGTTTTGTATGCTGTCTGCATCCCACGGATGGGGCTTTGCTTGTCTGTGTAGACCGGTTGCTGGCATGCTGCGGACCACTACCAGTCCACAGACCGGGGGTTGGGGACCCCTGTCTTACTTTATTCTCCATTTATTATTCTCCTGAGAGCAGTCAAGGTCCAAAGAGAGATCTCACTTTTAAATCTACGCTTTCAAATTCTATTCTTAGACCAAATGGTTTTTTCTCCAAGGTGCCTAATAATATCTCAACAGACTGCTCACTCTCTATCACCTTGAGCACAAGTTAGTCAGCCAGTTAGAATCAGAAAATTGCTGAACTGGAAAATGGCTGCAACACTTGTATTTCCCCCTAAGCTATGAATACAAATTATTTCTAATTACTGTACTTAAAAGAGAATTGTGTTTAACTGGCACGGCAGAAATTTAATACAAATTGTTATCATCCAAAAAGATACCAGAGGAAGAGGCTCAAGTAATGATGGAAAACACCTGATAGAGAAGTGTTCCAATGAGGAGGTAGATATCTATGTGTTTGTGTGGGAGGGTGCACACAATTGCACACCTTCGAGTCAGTACTGATTCCTGGCAACTGCCTGAATAAATCTCTGCATTTTTCCTGGCAAGATTTCAGAAGTGGTTTGTCATGGTTTTCTTCCATAACTGTCTCAAGGTTACCCGGTTGGCTTTGGGAATAGATGGGACTAGAACTAGGAGGCTTGGTGCCTTAACTAGCTATACCAAATTGGCCCTCAAATACCATTATTATGCATTATGCATTCACAATGATTCACTGACTCATACAATGGCACAAACCATTGCAAATTAAGTAGAATGTTTTTGGGAAAAGATACAGACTTATGCCATTGTAAAATACAGTATATATTTTTCCAATTACTATTATTATTGAAATAATAAAATCTTATTTTGTGGAAAATTGAGACAAGTGTGATAAAGTCGTTTAGTAATTTGACAATACTTTACTGATAGCTGATTTTTCATTAGGCGATTTTTGATTATATGCTGTCAAGGATATGACAGTTTATTAAAACTGTACTTGAGTTTATTTATCTCTGTTAATTGGGTTTTCTTCTGTAATGGAAGAGGAGAACACTTGTTGCAACAGCTGAAGCTTCCAGCTGGTCTTTAGAGGCAGCCCAATGTAGAACGCGCTGTAATATTCAAGAGGTGACAAATGCCCAGTGAAGCTTTATGATCCAGAGAAAGGCCACAATTGATGATATAACTCTGCAAAGTGCAAAGTGTGGAAGACCAGGAGTTCTAGTCCCACCTTAGCCACGAAAGCAACCTGGGTGACTTTGGGGCAATCACTCTCTCTCAGCTCAATCCATCTCACAGGGTTGTGTGGGGAAAATAAGAGGAAGAAGGTGTGTTGGATATGTTTGCCACCTTGAGTTATTTGTAAAAATAATAACAGCAGAATACAAATAAATAAAACATTTTGTCTTGTTTTTAAGCAATCTCAGTCC